CCGATAAAGTAATTTGCCTGGGAGCTTTTGCGTTTTTTCAGTATTAGTCACATGACCATGGGCGTGGCCTGATGACGTCATCACTGGTGTTACTAATCATGAAAAAGTTAAAACACATGAAATAACTCTGAAGTAGCTAAAAATGATAGGTTATATGAGATTAAATTTTCCTTAGCAACGGCTCGAAAAGATCGGTTAATGGGCCCTTAAGAAAGTCTAGTTCAAATATATATCATTGTTGCGTTTCTCTATCCATCATAAACCACAAATGTAACTGCTGTAATTTTTTGGCATCCAGTATATCAGTATATAGCATTTCAGTATTACTTATCTCCAACTTAGATATTATTCCAGGGGGTTGGTTGCAATTTTTCTTGGATCAGTTTTTCAAGGCCGAGGAATAGCTTCGAGATTTAGCGGCGACATTGACAGTTTACTTTTCAATGCTGTGACACTGGGAAACCCGCTTGCCAGAATTTTAAACAGAATAAAGTAGATTGAAAGAAATCTAATTAAAGTTAATGAGTTGAAGTTTATATGACTGTCACTGTTGTTGTGTAGGATATCAGTCGAAATTCACCAGCATTCCTTCCAAACCAACTTCATCGCTCAGTGGCAACAATGTGACATTTATGTGGAGATATCACACAAGTCATGCTGACAAATCTCATTTCCGATTGCTTGTGTTTGGACTGTGGACAAATGGAGATATTTCAACTCCTTTAGTGAGCTTGTCAAAAAATGGCAGCCTAGTTTGTTATTCGGATCGCATCGTATGGCTTGGGAACAAGACTGCAGCAGTATTTCAACTCCGTCGTGTGACTATTCAAGATGGCGGTGAATATGGTTTAAAGTTGAACTTTGAGGCATTTACTTTACGAGATTCAGTAAATCTAACTGTCATTGGTAAGTATAGAAGTAATCTTTTCCAGCGATGGTTTTTCTACTTTCTTTTAACTTGTATATTAAATGTAGAAATGGCATCAACTCGGAAAAACTTCCGAGTTCCAGATGGGATTTGAACCCACCGCCCATCGTTTGTACCGCAGCAAGTCCATCAAGCTGTCTACTGAATGTACCCAGCTCTGCGTAGCACCTCCCCATAATCTGCTAGCTCTCCTCATATTCCAGAGGTTGTGTCTTGCCACTTCATGACGAGTGAAGCATTTGATACCACCCCGCAGGGTAACGGACTGAGGTCGCGTTCCTGCGCAAATTATGAAAGTCAACAGAAACCGAGAGCGAGCTCACAAAGTGTTTTAGCACATCCTACCCACTGACCAATTTATCTAACCAAAAACTTTTATCACTTCATTTACTATCGATCGTCACAAAGCCTATGTGTAGCTGTTTACCTATTCATTTGCACTAGGTGATCTGTGACGAGCTTGAGCTCATCACAACTGGCATTTTGTCTGTCCTAACTTTTTCAGCTCCACCCCGAATTAAGAAGAGCAAAAGTAAATTGGCGGAAGTGAAAGTATCAGAAGGCGAGTCAGCTGTTTTGCCATGTCACGTGACTGGTAATCCTCAGCCGTGGATCTCATGGTCACGCGATGGGAAAACACTTCAGAACAGCACGAGAAAGAGCGGGTTGATGCTACCAGCTACTCATGGAAACATGACGGGATTGTATACCTGCGTTGCTGGTAACAAGGCAGGGATTGATGAATATCATGTGTTGTTGCTCGTGACATCCTGTGAACATCAGTCAAGTGGAGTAAAACATCGCACAAAAGGTAAGATGTCAAACACGTGATGCACTGCTTTGAGATCAGAATGAACAGGAAAACGCAAATGCTGTGTTAAAAGGTGCATGCATGAGGTGCCTAACAAACACTCGTGCAGGAAAAATAAGAATAAAAACACCCTTTCCCAACGTTTGTTAGATTTCTTAGTGTTGATTGGCTCAACAGGACATTAAAGAAAATACATTTGTAGAGTTTCTCTTCACCAAGGTTGTAAAGAAAGCCGTGAGAGGATGAAACAGAGTACTCGAGTCAAACAATCATTCATTACGTCATTCTTCGTTACCTTAATCCCAACAAAGACGAAACTTCATGTCTCGTAGAAATTTTAAACAAATAACACAATAGTTTTTCTCTTTTAGAACTGTCTGAGCCAGATCACAGGCATATTCACGACGACTTACATGAACGGGCAACTTTTACCCCTACACTGGTTGTGGCTTTTGTTTTATTCATCATCTTTGGAGCGTACTTCTTTTTCCGATACGCAGGGTCAAGAAGCAAGAAATTCAGGTGGGTATTTGTAAGTAAAAGTAAGTAAAATCCTTTATTTAAAACACGATTATCGTTTAAGCACTACATGCTTGAGGGGTCGTGCAGTTAATTATCTAACTAGGAATTTCATTATGAAAGTGAGTGCTGTCGAAGGTCGATAAAACGGTGGGAACTGAATTGAACAGTCAACAGGTCTGGAAATTTTTGGAGGGTAGGGGTTGTCCAGAGTAGGTCCTCGCTGGATGGTTTGTAATAATTACTACAGCAAGTGGTGTTTTAGAAAAATGGCCCAATCGTTAGGCTTACGGAGTTGTTTGACCCATATTGGGAAATTGCTGAAAATGCTTTCTTGTTTGTGGGGCGGGGAAAGTGGTTGAAAATGTTGGTAGTAGCAAAATAGAGGTGCTGTTCTAAAAGGTGAGAGGAAATTATTTTTTATTGTTGATTTAATAAGTCATTAATTTGA